GGTGAGCGACACAGGGAGAACATACTCTCCTGCAGCTGTGGTGAGTGACACAGGGAGAACGTACTGTAGCGTTACATAAAAGCACCTACCGTCACGTCGTCTCCGTCAAAGCTGGAGTTGTCTCGTTTCAGAATGTAGCGCTTCTGAAAGTCGTCCGCTCTCTCGTCTTTGATGTGCTCCGAGAATTTCTGATCCGGGCTGTCGACGAGAGGAACAGAACGAGACTGTGATGGGAGACCGTACTGTACTCTAGTATAACTCTAAGGTCAGGATAGGAGGAGACCAGAGACTGTCAGAGGGCGGAGATAACTCTAAGGTCAGGATAGGAGGAGACCAGAGACTGTGAGAGGGCGGAGATAACTCTAAGGTCAGGATAGGAGGAGACCAGAGACTGAGAGAGGGCGGAGATAACTCTAAGGTCAGGATAGGAGGAGACCAGAGACTGTGAGAGGGCGGAGATAACTCTAAGGTCAGTATATGAGGAGACCAGAGACTGAGAGAAGGAGATAACTCTAAGGTCAGGATAGGAGGAGACCAGAGACTGTGAGAGGGCGGAGATAACTCTAAGGTCAGGATATGAGGAGACCAGAGACTGTGAGAGGGCGGAGATAACTCTAAGGTCAGGATATGAGGAGACCAGAGACTGTGAGAGGGCGGAGATAACTCTAAGGTCAGTATATGAGGAGACCAGAGACTGAGAGAAGGAGATAACTCTAAGGTCAGGATATGAGGAGACCAGAGACTGTGAGAGGGCGGAGATAACTCTAAGGTCAGGATAGGAGGAGACCAGAGACTGTGAGAGGGCGGAGATAACTCTAAGGTCAGGATATGAGGAGACCAGAGACTGTGAGAGGGCGGAGATAACTCTAAGGTCAGTATATGAGGAGACCAGAGACTGAGAGAAGGAGATAACTCTAAGGTCAGTATATGAGGAGACCAGAAACTGAGAGAAGGAGATAACTCTAAGGTCAGGATAGGAGGAGACCAGAGACTGTGAGAGGGCGGAGATAACTCTAAGGTCAGGATAGGAGGAGACCAGAGACTGTGAGAGGGCGGAGATAACTCTAAGGTCAGGATATGAGGAGACCAGAGACTGAGAGAAGGAGATAACTCTAAGGTCAGGATAGGAGGAGACCAGAGACTGTGAGAGGGCGGAGATAACTCTAAGGTCAGGATAGGAGGAGACCAGAGACTGTGAGAGGGCGGAGATAACTCTAAGGTCAGGATAGGAGGAGACCAGAGACTGTGAGAGGGCGGAGATAACTCTAAGGTCAGGATATGAGGAGACCAGAGACTGAGAGAAGGAGATAACTCTAAGGTCAGGATAGGAGGAGACCAGAGACTGTGAGAGGGCGGAGATAACTCTAAGGTCAGGATAGGAGGAGACCAGAGACTGTGAGAGGGCGGAGATAACTCTAAGGTCAGTATATGAGGAGACCAGAGACTGAGAGAAGGAGATAACTCTAAGGTCAGGATAGGAGGAGACCAGAGACTGTGAGAGGGCGGAGATAACTCTAAGGTCAGGATATGAGGAGACCAGAGACTGTGAGAGGGCGGAGATAACTCTAAAGTCAGGATAGGAGGAGACCAGAGACTGTGAGAGGGCGGAGATAACTCTAAGGTCAGTATATGAGGAGACCAGAGACTGAGAGAAGGAGATAACTCTAAGGTCAGGATATGAGGAGACCAGAGACTGTGAGAGGGCGGAGATAACTCTAAGGTCAGTATATGAGGAGACCAGAGACTGAGAGAAGGAGATAACTCTAAGGTCAGGATATGAGGAGACCAGAGACTGTGAGAGGGCGGAGATAACTCTAAGGTCAGGATATGAGGAGACCAGAGACTGTGAGAGGGCGGAGATAACTCTAAGGTCAGGATAGGAGGAGACCAGAGACTGTGAGAGGGCGGGAGATAACTCTAAGGTCAGGATATGAGGAGACCAGAGACTGTGAGAGGGCGGAGATAACTCTAAGGTCAGGATATGAGGAGACCAGAGACTGTGAGAGGGCGGAGATAACTCTAAGGTCAGGATATGAGGAGACCAGAGACTGTGAGAGGGCGGAGATAACTCTAAGGTCAGGATAGGAGGAGACCAGAGACTGAGAGAAGGAGATAACTCTAAGGTCAGGATAGGAGGAGACCAGAGACTGTGAGAGGGCGGAGATAACTCTAAGGTCAGGATAGGAGGAGACCAGAGACTGTGAGAGGGCGGAGATAACTCTAAGGTCAGGATATGAGGAGACCAGAGACTGTGAGAGGGCGGAGATAACTCTAAGGTCAGGATAGGAGGAGACCAGAGACTGTGAGAGGGCGGAGATAACTCTAAGGTCAGGATATGAGGAGACCAGAGACTGTGAGAGGGCGGAGATAACTCTAAGGTCAGGATAGGAGGAGACCAGAGACTGTGAGAGGGCGGAGATAACTCTAAGGTCAGGATATGAGGAGACCAGAGACTGAGAGAAGGAGATAACTCTAAGGTCAGGATATGAGGAGACCAGAGACTGTGAGAGGGCGGAGATAACTCTAAGGTCAGGATAGGAGGAGACCAGAGACTGTGAGAGGGCGGAGATAACTCTTATGGTGCATTCAGACGCCAACGCTCAAACGCTGAAGCCCCGCTCACCAGACGTGCATTCTCTAGTTTTCAGACGCAGAGGACTTCACACCAGAACGTCCTGACGAGAGCCGGAAGTACCGGAAGTAGCCGGCTCTGATGCTAACAGAGCTATGCTAGCGGCTTCTTGTGCACAGATCTTCTCCAATATTCAGCTTTGAACAGAGACTTTCCACAGGCTTTATATAACAGCAGTATGTGTTCACGGAGGTGACTTTATATAACAGCAGTATGTGTTCACAGAGGTGACTTTATATAACAGCAGTATGTGTTCACGGAGGTGACTTTATATAACAGCAGTATGTGTTCACGGAGGTGACTTTATATAACAGTAGTATGTGTTCACGGAGGTGACTTTATATAACAGCAGTATGTGTTCACGGAGGTGACTTTATATAACAGCAGTATGTGTTCACAGAGGTGACTTTATATAACAGCAGTATGTGTTCACGGAGGTGACTTTATATAACAGCAGTATGTGTTCACGGAGGTGACTTTATATAACAGCAGTATGTGTTCACGGAGGTGACTTTATATAACAGCAGTATGTGTTCACGGAGGTGACTTTATATAACAGCAGTATGTGTTCACGGAGGTGACTTTATCTAACAGCAGTATGTGTTCACGGAGGTGACTTTATATAACAGCAGTATGTGTTCACGGAGGTGACTTTATATAACAGCAGTATGTGTTCACGGAGGTGACTTTATATAACAGCAGTATGTGTTCACGGAGGTGACTTTATATAACAGCAGTATGTGTTCACGGAGGTGACTTTATATAACAGCAGTATGTGTTCACGGAGGTGACTTTATATAACAGCAGTATGTGTTCACAGTGATTTTATATAACAGTAGTATGTGTTCACGGAGGTGACTTTATATAACAGCAGTATGTGTTCACAGAGGTGACTTTATATAACAGCAGTATGTGTTCACGGAGGTGACTTTATATAGCAGCAGTATGTGTTCACGGAGGTGACTTTATATAACAGCAGTATGTGTTCACGGAGGTGACTTTATATAACAGCAGTATGTGTTCACGGAGGTGACTTTATATAACAGCAGTATGTGTTCACGGTGACTTTATATAACAGCAGTATGTGTTCACGGAGGTGACTTTATATAACAGCAGTATGTGTTCACGGAGGTGACTTTATATAACAGCAGTATGTGTTCACGGAGGTGACTTTATATAACAGCAGTATGTGTTCACGGAGGTGACTTTATATAACAGCAGTATGTGTTCACGGAGGTGACTTTATATAACAGCAGTATGTGTTCACGGAGGTGACTTTATATAACAGTAGTATGTGTTCACGGAGGTGCGCCATACGTTTTTTGTATCATTAAACGGTATTTCCGCATCGGCGAACGCACTCGAAGCAGTTGCATAAGGTCACAGGAGCATGAGAATGCAGCTCCTGTTTTGGATGTTTACAGTATTTTCAGTCTGCTCGCTCATTCTGCTAATGTCCCCGTGACCACTTTGCTGCTCTCTGATTGGTCGCTGCACAAACGTCCGAGGAAAGGTTGAGCAAAGTTTATCTCCTGTGGGCGTCCATTTTCCGCTCCTGCTCCTCCCCTTTGACTTTCCCGCCAAGTCTACTGAGCGCTCCGTCCGTGCGTGCCGAGAGGTACGTGCGTTGTGACGCTCGAACGCGCATCACCATTGCCGTTGCATTGAAAGCAGACGCAACGCATGATCCGGTCTGAACGCGGCATAAGACCTTACATCATGGTGCTGGAGGTCTTGGGTCAGGGTCAGGGTCAGGGTCAGGGTCAGGGTTAGGGGCGGGGCCTTACATCCTGGTGCTGGAGGTCTTGTTGATGACCACAGACTTCCCGCTGGGGTCTACGTTGTGGTCCAAGCCGAAATACGCCGCCACTCTGTGCAGCAGCATGCGATGGTACGAGGACATGGGCGGGAACTTCCTCTGCTGGTTCCTGTCAATCACAGACACCAGGTGAGCTGCGGTGGAAGGCGACCAATGAGAAGCCAAGGAATAAATGCTTTAAAGGAGACATGTGTCACAACATAGACCTGGCTTTAATGGTTAATGTGCTCGGTCTTTGATCCAAAAAAAACACAACTTTGGACAAAAATAATGCGTAATATTTCTTTAAACAGAAGTCAGTTGTTGTTATCTATAGCTGCGTTTCCATTGAATAATGCGCAAAAACTTTTTCGATACATTTCAAAATTCAAAAAACCTGTAATTCGCAAAAGCGGCCGTTTCCATTAAGACATATTCGAATAAGTATACACTATTTTCGCGCGTTTATTCACTAGTTTCTAGTACGTCGACATGGCAACAGAAGTAAACAACACTTTGATTTACGTGAGATATATTAATGTCTTGACTTCTGCTGCGGCTCTCATCCTCTCTGACCTCTGACCCCGGGAGAAACTGTGGCTGCTTTGACAGCTCCGCGAACGCCGTGGTCATGTACCGAGCGCGGACCAGACGCGCGCACAGAACCATAGACACGGGTCTTGCCTGTCTCCCCCGTCTCTCCCCCATGCCTCTCCCCCGTCTCTCCCCCGTCTCTCCCCTATGCCTCTCCCCCGTCTCTCCCCTATGCCTCTCCCCCGTCTCTCCCCCGTCTCTCCCTCGTCTCTCCCCCATGCCTCTCCCCCGTCTCTCCCCCGTCTCTCCCCCGTCTCTCCCTCGTCTCTCCCCCATGCCTCTCCCCCGTCTCTCCCCCATGCCTCTCCCCCGTCTCTCCCCCATGCCTCTCCCCCGTCTCTCCCCCGTCTCTCCCCCATGCCTCTCCCCCGTCTCTCCCCCATGCCTCTCCCCCGTCTCTTCCCCGTCTCTCCCCCATGCCTCTCCCCCGTCTCTCCCCCGTCTCCCCCGTCTCTCCCCCGTCTCTCCCCCATGCCTCTCCCCCGTCTCTCCCCCATGCCTCTCCCCCGTCTCTTCCCCATGCCTCTCCCCCGTCTCTTCCCCGTCTCTCCCCCATGCCTCTCCCCCGTCTCTTCCCCGTCTCTCCCCCGTCTCCCCCATGCCTCTCCCCCGTCTCTCCCCTATGCCTCTCCCCCGTCTCTCCCCCGTCTCTCCCCCGTCTCTCCCTCGTCTCTCCCCCATGCCTCTCCCCCATGCCTCTCCCCCGTCTCTCCCCCGTCTCTCCCCCGTCTCTTCCCCGTCTCTCCCCTGTCTCCCCCATGCCTCTCCCCCGTCTCTCCCCCGTCTCTCCCCCGTCTCTCCCCCATGCCTCTCCCCCGTCTCTCCCCCATGCCTCTCCCCCGTCTCTTCCCCGTCTCTCCCCCGTCTCTCCCCCGTCTCTTCCCCGTCTCTCCCCCGTCTCCCCCATGCCTCTCCCCCGTCTCTCCCCCGTCTCTCCCCCGTCTCTCCCCCATGCCTCTCCCCCGTCTCTCCCCCATGCCTCTCCCCCGTCTCTTCCCCGTCTCTCCCCCATGCCTCTCCCCCGTCTCTTCCCCGTCTCTCCCCCGTCTCCCCCATGCCTCTCCCCCGTCTCTCCCCCGTCTCTCCCCTATGCCTCTCCCCCGTCTCTCCCCTATGCCTCTCCCCCGTCTCTCCCCCGTCTCTCCCTCGTCTCTCCCCCATGCCTCTCCCCCGTCTCTCCCCCGTCTCTCCCCCATGCCTCTCCCCCGCCTCTCCCCCATGCCTCGCCCCCGTCTCTTCCCCGTCTCTCCCCCATGCCTCTCCCCCGTCTCTCCCCCATGCCTCTCCCCCGTCTCTCCCCTATGCCTCTCCCCCGTCTCTCCCCCGTCTCTCCCCCGTCTCTTCCCCGTCTCTCCCCCGTCTCCCCCATGCCTCTCCCCCGTCTCTCCCCCGTCTCTCCCCCGTCTCTCCCCCATGCCTCTCCCCCGTCTCTTCCCCGTCTCTCCCCCATGCCTCTCCCCCGTCTCTCCCCGTCTCTCCCCCGTCTCCCCCATGCCTCTCCCCCCGTCTCTCCCCCATGCCTCTCCCCCGTATCTCCCAAGTCTCCACACGAAGCGCAGCCAAAACTCACTGAATAAAGCAGCTCGGCTTCCTCCGCTATATCGAAATAAGTGTTTCCATTGCCGCCGTTTTGCGAAAAAACTTAATTTCGATACGTCCAAAAAACCACCTATTTTAAGCGCATAAACTTTTTATCGAAAAACTGTCGTTTATTCGAAATTTGCGCGTTTCCATTAGACATTTTATGATGCGCAAATTCAAATTTCGAAATTTGATGCTCAATGGAAACGCAGCTATTGTTTGTGTGCTAAAGGTTCAGAGTCAAACAAGTAGCTGATTTATCGATCCAGTTTAGTTTTATAGAAAAGAAAAGAAAACAGAGTATTGGTCCATTAAACACTAAATCCTCCGAACAGTTTCCTTTTGAATCTGTCGTTGCAGAACTGTCTCTGATAATTTGTTTGTGTCTGAATCAAACGAAATAAACTCCACAGTCTCTCGCCGCCACAAGAACTGCTTCTGACATGATTCTGCAGGAGACGGATCTGACGCCCGCGCTCTCCACCACCAGCTGTTTCTCTTAATTGTGTGACGTGAAGCAAAGATGAAGTTGGATCCATCTGTGCTCGGCTCGTCAGGTCTGTCTCATTCTGAACCTGATCCATCTGTGCTCGGCTCGTCAGGCCTGTCTCATTCTGAACCTGATCCGTCTGTGCTCGGCTCGTCAGGCCTGTCTCATTCTGAACCTGATCCGTCTGTGCTCGGCTCGTCAGGCCTGTCTCATTCTGAACCTGATCCATCTGTGCTCGGCTCGTCAGGCCTGTCTCATTCTGAACCTGATCCATCTGTGCTCGGCTCGTCAGGCCTGTCTCATTCTGAACATGATCCATCTGTGCTTGGCTCGGCAGGTCTGTCTCATTCTGAACATGATCCATCTGTGCTCGGCTCGTCAGGCCTGTCATTACATTATTTTGTGTGAGAAGTTTGACTCACTCGTTATTGCTGATGAAGTCCAAGATGTCCTGTTCCAGTTTGAGAAGCATGATCCGATCCCTGAAACACACACACAGAGACACACACACACATATAAACACACACACATATACACACACACACAGACACACGCACACACAGACACACAGTTACTAACAAACTAAAGTTTAACACTTATATGTAATGTGTGTGTGTGTCGGTGTGTGTCTCTCTGTGTGTGTGTGAGTGTCTGTGTGTGTCTGTGTGTGTCTGTGTGTGAGTGTGTGTGAGTGTCTGTGTGTGTGTGTGAGTGTCTGTGTGTGTGTCTGTGTGTGTGTGTCTGTGTGTGTATGAACCTTGGATTTCCCTTCAGTGTGTTCATCAGGAACTCGTGGAGATCGATCCCTGTGGAGTCGGTGTAGTCTTGGCTCGAGTCTGAGAAACACAGAGAAGTTAGAGATCAGTTAGAGATCAGTTAGAGATAATTTAGAGATAATTTAGAGATCATTTAGAGATCAGTTAGAGATCAGTTAGAGATCAGTTAGAGATCAGTTAGAGATCAGTTAGAGAGTTAAATATTTAAGTTATTGATAACATACACTCAGACTGTGAAAGCATGTGTTCATAAGTGTCCAATAACCTCCGGCCAATCAGAACGCAGCTGGAGTCATGTGACATGTCACATTCCAATCAGAACGTAGCTGGAGTCATGTGACATGTCACATGCCAATCAGAACGTAGCTGGAGTCATGTGACATGTCTCCGGCCAATCAGAACGCAGCTGGAGTCATGTGACATGTCGCTAATAGACTGATGAGAACTAATGAAATGTCTGAGCAGAAGGACTCAGTCCTAATTGGACTGATTGAGATTCTAAATGTTGTTTTCAGAATCGTTCCAGTTTGTTAACTCAGCGAATCAACCATAAACACGATCATAATTATATTATTATTATTGATATGCAAATGAGACACTCTGGGGATAATTCACCGGGAACATGGAAAAGTGCAAACTCCACACAGCAGCGACATTTACATTTTAGTTTGAATGAGACCAACGCTGAGCTAAAGGACGTCCAGCAATTTACTGAATCTACTGAATTAGACACAGAAGAGGAAGAAGAAAGAGAAGATTAGAGTAAAAAGTAAAATAAAATCAATAAATATAATAAACATAAACATGATTCTGTGTTGAACCGTCTTATATACATATCATTGTTATGTTCAAAACAACCAAAGGAGTGAGAGCCCCCCCCTCCCCCTCAGCCCCCCCCTGGATAATGTGTAGTTTCTATAATTGGAGTGGGCCTCCTCGCGGTGACACCTCCCTCGGTGATACCTCCCTCAGTGACACCTCCCTGGGCCGGTGGGATCCAGATAATTGCTTCACACCTTGGGCTTGTCGCAATTAACTGAATCACGCCAATTATTGGCTCATAATGAGGAGAAAAGACTGGGTTTTGGTGCAAAGCAGTGGAACGGGACCAGAGCCGTTTGGTCCGGACACCGAGGAGCCATAATGAGGCTGGGGGGGGCAGGGGGGGTCCCACTGTGGGTCTGTGGGGGGGTAGGAGGAAATATACTACAACTATACTATTACTACAACTATACTATTACTATACTATTACTACAACTATACTATTACTGCAACTATACTATTACTATACTATTACTACAACTATACTATTACTGCAACTATACTATTACTATACTATTACTGCAACTATACTATTACTGCAACTATACTATTACTACAACTATTACTACACTATACTATTACTACAACTATTACTACACTATACTATTACTATACTACAACTATACTATTACTACAACTATACTATTACTATACTACAACTATACTATTACTACAACTATACTACAACTATACTATTACTATACTAGAACTATACTATTACTACAACTATACTATTACTATACTACACTATTACAAACATTGTTCCTCATTAAAAACATAAATAATGCCTCAGGCTTTTTATAGTGAATTTAAGTAACTTCCAAGTGTGAAGAGAGAGAGAGAGAGACAGAGAGAGAGAGAGAGACAGAGAGAGAGAGACAGAGAGAGAGAGACAGAGAGAGAGAGAGAGACAGAGAGAGAGAGACAGAGAGAGAGAGAGAGAGAGAGAGAGAGAGAGAGAGAGAGAGAGAGACAGAGAGAGAGAGAGACAGAGAGAGAGAGAGACAGAGAGAGAGAGAGAGAGAGAGAGAGAGAGACAGAGAGAGAGAGAGAGAGAGAGAGAGAGAGAGACAGAGAGAGAGAGACAGAGAGAGAGAGAGAGACAGAGAGAGAGAGAGAGAGGGAGGGAGAGACAGAGAGAGAGAGAGACAGAGAGAGAGACAGAGAGAGAGAGAGAGACAGAGAGAGAGAGAGAGACAGAGAGAGAGAGAGAGACAGAGAGAGAGGGAGGGAGAGACAGAGAGGGAGGGAGAGACAGAGAGAGAGAGAGCGAGACAGGTTGATTGGACGATATCCGTCTCTGATTCTCTCACTGCGTCCGAACCCTGACTGTAAAAGCTGCTAAAGCATCAATTCAAATGTTGCCATAAGAAAAATGCAATGTTTTTAAATGAGGCCCCAGGTGCATGCTGGGAAGTCCTGTGAAGCGGTGATTACAAAGTTAGCTGGCACGGCCCTCGTCAGACTCACAGAGAGGAAATATTCTAATATTAAAGTCATTAAAAGTGTCCACAAACCTCTGGACAACAGTTTACGGACGCTCTTCTCTGGCTTCTCGGCCTTGTCGGTCTTCTCGGTCTTCTCGGTCTTCTCTGGCTTCTCGGCCTTGTCGGTCTTGTCGGGTTTCTCGGCCTTCTCGGTTTTGTGGCTCTCTTTCTCGGCCTGGTCCTGGGTCCCTCTCTCCTCGCCCTCACACTTCAGAGGGAATCCGTCCTGCAACCACAGCACACCATGACAGATGTTACTGATACAAAACTTAGACTGTGAAGCCTTCATTAGAATCACAAAGTTATTATTATCAAACACACTAACTGAGGACCAGGGGCCTCTGTACTGAGGACCAGGAGCCAAAGAAAAACTACACTGTTCCCTTTTGAGTGACAGGCAGAAGTAGCCAATGACAGAAGGGCTGGAGGCAATAGATAGATAGATAGACGCTCTCGTTTACCCACAATCCTCCTGGATCTGCGGCGTTATTGCAGAATCCAAATTGCTACGGCAATTAATCTGGAAGATTAGATTGTTTTTATTAAGTCTGTGAATAATACATGATCCTGAGGCAACAAGAAACAGCACTGTCCTATAGGACTCCTGCGCCTCCTGTTTGTCCAGGAGGAGCAGGAGGAGGAGCAGGAGGAGGAGGAGCAGGAGGAGGAGCAGGAGGAGGAGCAGGAGGAGGAGGAGCAGGAGGAGGAGCAGGAGCAGGAGGAGCAGGATGAGGAGGAGCAGGAGGAGGAGGAGGAGGAGCAGGAGGAGGAGCAGGAGGAGGAGGAGCAGGAGGAGGAGCAGGAGGAGGAGCAGGAGCAGGAGGAGGAGGAGCAGGATGAGGAGGAGCAGGAGGAGGAGGAGGGGAGGACAGGGGACCCTACTACATCTATTGTTTCTCTATAAGTCAAATGCACAGTTCCATTAAAACCACACACAATAACACTGTCATCATATTCATAATAACACTGATAATAACACTGATAATAACACTGTCATCATATTAATAACACTGATAATAACACTGTCATCATATTAATAACACTGATAATAACACTGATAATAACACTGTCATCATATTAATAACACTGATAATAACACTGATAATAACACTGATAATAACACTGATAATAACACTGATAATAACACTGATAATAACACTGATAATAACACTGTCATCATATTAATAACACTGATAATAACACTGATAATAACACTGATAATAACACTGTCATCATATTAATAACACTGATAATAACACTGTCATCATATTCATAATAACACTGATAATAACACTGATAATAACACTGTCATCATATTAATAACACTGATAATAACACTGTCATCATATTCATAATAACACTGATAATAACACTGATAATAACACTGTCATCATATTAATAACACTGATAATAACACTGATAATAACACTGATAATAACACTGTGCAGCAGCTGCGATACAACACATATGTTAATGTTATATGAAAACAGAAATATGGCCTCAGGGAAAACAGTCAGAGGCCATTTTGACACAGAGCAAATGCAAATGGATAATACTACTATCAATAAAGTATCTGTCTGTGATTCCTCTGCATCATCAAGCCACATCATAATTCAGAAAAATAACACCAAACACCAAATCCAAGCCTGGGCTCGGACTAGAGCAGGACCAGGACTAGAACCGAGTCTGGGTTCTGCACCGGGACCGATCCAACACTGATGACTACATTACTCCTGAAGCGACTGATCCTGGTGCGAGAGCAACAGCTGCGAGCTACGCTAATGAGATGCTACGTTCTTTAGCCGCTAGCAGCTACGCCAAGATGTAATATGCTAATGAGGAACGCCACTGACTAATTACCAGAGTGACAATTTATGCACTGAGGAGATGACAGCAGTGTGTGTGTGTGTGTGTGTGTGTGTGTGTGTGTGTGTGTGAGTGTGTGTGTGTGTGTGTGTCTGTGTGTCTGTGTGTGTGTGTCTGTGTGTGTGTGTGTGTGTGTGTCTGTGTGTGTGTCTGTGTGTGTGTGTGTGTGTCTGTGTGTCTGAGTGTGTGTGTCTGTGTGTGTGTGTGTGTGTGTGTGTGTGTGTGTGTGTGTGTGTGTGCATGTGTATCTGTGTGTGTGTGTAAGTGTAAGTGTATAAGTGTGTGTGTGTCTGTGTGTGCGTGTGTATGTATATGTGTGTGTGTGAGAGTGTGTGTGTGTGTGTGTGTGTGTGTGAGTGTGTGTGTGTGTGTGTGTCTGTGTGTCTGAGTGTGTGTGTCTGTGTGTGTGTGTGTGTGTGTCTGTGTGTGTGTGTGTGTGTGTGTATGTGTGTCTCTCTGTGTGTGTGTGTGTCTGTGTGTACCATGATGTTGGGCAGCGTGTGTGTGTGTGTGTGTGTGTCTGTGTGTGTCTGTGTGCGCTTGTTTTCAACTCCTGGTGGGTTCCATAACCTGAGATTCCACTCACGTCATGGGGACTGGTTTTACGTAGTGGGGCCCGAACACCGGACCCCACTGGTCCAAGCTTAATAATCAATGGGTAATGCTTTTCTAACGGTCCTTATGCAGTCTCTGTAAAAATATGGAAAGGACCCCTGGAGGTTTACTTTCCTGAAAAAAGTGTGTTATGTGTCGGAACCCTGGTGGTGGGTTGCGGGATATCAAGGAGGGGCACACTGGGGCAATTTCAGTCCAGCAGGCTGGAGCCAATCATGGAGCAGCACAACAGAGGCTGGAGCCAATCATGGAGCAGCACAACAGAGGCTGGAGCCAATCATGGAGCAGCACAACAGAGGCTGGAGCCAATCATGGAGCAGCACAACAGAGGCTGGAGCCAATCATGGAGCAGCACAACAGAGTAAATCAGGTGTCAGGCTAGAAAAAGGTGCAAGTGTGTGGTTCATTAGGCTGCAGCCAATCACAGAGCAGCACACTGAAGCGCACGCTTACAAACCACTGGTAAGTGCTGACTACAAGTCATGACTTCAAATTGTTATATAGAATGATTACAAATTATTTGTTGTTTGTGCAGCTTAGTCAAGAGTCCCTAATTGATGAAGTCGACTCAGATTCTGACGATTTAACTGTCAAGAAGAAACCTGTAAAAAAGTATGGAAAAAGAAAAATCAAAAACACTTTTCTTCAAGACTCGGAAAGTGACGAACCAAAGGCAAATAAGATTGTTATCATGCAGCTGCAAAAGAAGAAAAATGGGGGGAGAGTTTACAGCAAGAGACACTTCTGCCTCTACTGTTCAATGTCCTGCCACAAAATGTCCCGTCATTTGACTAGAAAACATGGAAATGAAAGTGACGTAGCCAGAGCATTGGCTCTACCTGTGAAATCTAAAGCACGTAAACTTCAGTTTGATTTGATCAGGAATAGTGGAAACCGTGAGCACAATTTTGAGGTTTTAAAGGCCGGCATTGGAACTTTAGTCCCAGCTAAACAGCCAAATTCCCCAGTTAAATCCAGTGAGTTTTTGCACTGTATAGACTGTGGGGCATTGCTTAAGCGAAAGTTGCTGTGGAGGCATGTGGCCAGGTGCCGGCTTTCACAGAAAGATGCCCAGGCTAAACCAGGCTAAACCAGGCTAAACCAGGTAGAAGTAGGGTCCAGTCCCTCTGCTCCCTAGCCCAGCCTGTACCGGAGGGCATCAGCAAAAAGCTGTGGTCTTTAATTTGGGCAATGCATCAGGATGAGGTCACGGGTGTTGTCAAAGCAGAAAAGGGGATTCTGAGACTCGGAGAGCACCTGTACTTAAAACACGGGCATGATAAGACTAAGCATGATTACATTAGGCAGAAAATGAGAGAAGTCGGTAGGTTAATTAACGAAGCAAAAACCGCAGGGAAACTGAAAACAATGAAGGATTTCTTTATTCCTTCCAACTTTAACCATGTGATTGATGCAGTCAGGTCTGTGGCTGGATATGATGAGGAAACAAATCAATACAAGACTCCATCCTTGGCCCTCAAACTCGGCCATAGCCTCAGAAAGCAGATATTCTTGAATGTGACTCAAAAATGGAGCATTGTGTTGATGAACTATTTATTAAAAACCTCCAACGAAGCCGGCTGCTTTTTGAGAAGAGGTGGGACGTCTGTGTTTCTTCTGCTGCCCTACAGACCCTCCGGCAAGCCAAGTGGAACACTCCGGACCTGCTCCCTCTGACTGAGGACGTTAGAGCCATGCATGCACATATTGAGGTATGTCGACCTGAATATGTGCAAACCCTAATAAGTGAGCCAACGTCTAAGCATTGGTCTAAACTGGCAGTTTTGACTCTTTGTGAGGTCATCATTTTCAATCGAAGAAGGGAAGGTGAGGTTTCAAAGATGCCACTGACAGCCTTTACCTTAAGAAGTAAGACTGGGATCCATTCTGACATTGCTCTGGGACTGTCCCAACTTGAGAAAAAGCTGTGTCAGCATTTTCAACGCATTGAAATTAAAGGGAAAAGAAGTCGGAAAGTGCCGGTTCTTTTGACTCCTGAAATGATTGCTTCGATGGAGGTGCTGGTGGAGAACAGAAGGGCCTGTTCCATCTCTGACCATAACCCATACTTCTTTTCCCGCCCGGGCGCAGACACCCACATCAGGGGATCAGACTCCCTACGCCAGGTAGCCAAAGAATGTGGTGCGGTGCATCCAGAGATGCTATCCTCAACCAAACTTAGAAAGCACATAGCTACTATGTCTACAGTTCTCAATATGAAAGAGAATGAGATGGACATACTTGCCAACTTCCTCGGCCATGACATTCGCATCCACAGGCAATATTACAGACTACCAGAGGGGACACTGGAGCTGGCCAAAATCAGCAAAGTGTTGATGGCCATGGAGCAGGGAAGAGTGACGGAATTCGAAGGAAAGAGCCTCGACCAGATACAAATTGAGCCTGAAGGTAATTCTTGATATTATTAAAATATGTATGATTTTTTTCCCCTAAAGGCCACTTGTATTTTTATTTTCTGTGCGACAGGGAGAGCAGTAGAGATCCTCTCACAAACGGACGGGCTAAAAGAAACTTCAAGCGGAGAACCTTCAACCATTCATCCAGATGCACCCCATGGTAGTGGCAGTGCCCCTTCTGGTAAGTGTACCAGGTGGGGGATTACAGCCAGGCTGCTTGGTCCTCACCCTGGGAGTGTATATTGCTAATATATTTTTATTTCTCTCCCTAGAACGTTAGAGAAAGCCATGGTCTGCATCTGAGGTGAAGGCTGTGGAGAAGACCATGACACCTTTCATACAGACTGGAAAGGTCCCTGGGAAGTCTCACTGCCTGGCCTGCATTAATGCCTCACCAGATGACCTTAGACATCGGACATGGAGTGGCATTAAATTCTATGTCAAAAATAGAATCACTGCAATTCGAAAACAAAATCTAAAATAAAATTCCTTTAAAATAGTTGTTTGGTTTCTATTGACTGTTTTGTATTACTTAAAGTAGTCCCAGTAAAAAAAGATTATGTCTATGGGTCCCATTCTGAACGGCCCTGTCAAAGGGACCCACCAGGTAACAAAAACGTGTATGTGTGTGTCTGCGTGTGTGTGGGTGTGTCTGTCTGTGTGTGAGTGTGTGTGTGTGTGTGTGCGTGCGTATGTATATGTGTGTGTGTGAGAGTGTGTGTGTGTGTGTGTGCGTCTGTGTGTCTGTGTGTGAGAGTGTGTGTGTGTAAGTGTATAAGTGTGTGTGTGCATGTATCTGTGTGAGTGTGTGTGTGTGTGTGTGTGTATGTGTGTGTGTGTGTGTGTGTAAGTGTATAAGTGTGTGTGTGTGCATGTATCTGTGTGAGTGTGTGTGTGTCTGTGTGTGTGTGTGTGCATGTATCTGTGTGAGTGTGTGTGTGTCTGTGTGTGTGTGTGTGTGTGTCTGTGTGTCTGTGTGTGAGAGTGTGTGTGTGTGTGTGTGTGTAAGTGTATAAGTGTGTGTGTGCATGTATCTGTGTGAGTGTGTGTGTGTGTGTGTGTCTGTGTGAGTGTGTGTGTCTGAGTGTGTGTGTCTGTGTGTCTGTGTGTCTGAGTGTGTGTGTCTGTGTGTGTGAGTGTGTGTGTCTGTGTGTCTGAGTGTGTGTGTGTCTGAGTGTGTGTGTCTGAGTGTGTGTGTGTCGGGAGACGCTGCCTCATTTGCTCCGTGACACACATTTACCTCCAGATAAAGGAGAAACAGCAGAAGACTGAGGTCCTCTCAAAGTCTAATGAACGTGCTGTCAGTCTGCAACAGCCGCTCGGCATCATGGGAACTGACTGCAACAGCCGCTCGGCATCATGGGAACTGACTGCAACAGCCGCTCGGCATCATGGGAACTGACTGCAACAGCCGCTCGGCATCATGGGAACTGACTGCAACAGCCGCTCGGCATCATGGGAACTGACTGCAACAGCCGCTCGGCATCATGGGAACTGACTGCAACAGCCGCTCGGCATCATGGGAACTGACTGCAACAGCCGCTCGGCATCATGGGAACTGACTGCAACAGCCGCTCGGCATCATGGGAACTGACTGCAACAGCCGCTCGGCATCATGGGAACTGACTGCAACAGCCGCTCGGCATCATGGGAACTGACTGCAACAGCCGCTCGGCATCATGGGAACTGACCGTCAGTCTGCAACAACAGCCGCTCGGCATCATGGGAACTGACTGCAACAGCCGCTCGGCATCATGGGAACTGACCGTCAGTCTGCAACAACAGCCGCTCGGCATCATGGGAACTGACTGCAACAGCCGCTCGGCATCATGGGAACTGACCGTCAGTCTGCAACAACAGCCGCTCGGCATCATGGGAACTGACTGCAACAGCCGCTCGGCATCATGGGAACTGACTGCAACAGCCGCTCGGCATCATGGGAACTGACTGCAACAGCCGCTCGGCATCATGGGAACTGACTGCAACAGCCGCTCGGCATCATGGGAACTGACTGCAACAGCCGCTCGGCATCATGGGAACTGACTGCAACAGCCGCTCGGCATCATGGGAACTGACCGTCAGTCTGCAACAACAGCCGCTCGGCATCATGGGAACTGACTGCAACAGCCGCTCGGCATCATGGGAACTGACCGTCAGTCTGCAACAACAGCCGCTCGGCATCATGGGAACTGACTGCAACAGCCGCTCGGCATCATGGGAACTGACCGTCAGTCTGCAACAACAGCCGCTCGGCATCATGGGAACTGACCGTCAGTCTGCAACAACAGCCGCTCGGCATCATGGGAACTGACTGCAACAGCCGCTCGGCATCATGGGAACTGACCGTCAGTCTGCAACAACAGCCGCTCGGCATCATGGGAACTGACTGCAACAGCCGCTCGGCATCATGGGAACTGACTGCAACAGCCGCTCGGCATCATGGGAACTGACCGTCAGTCTGCAACAACAGCCGCTCGGCATCATGGGAACTGACTGCAACAGCCGCTCGGCATCATGGGAACTGACTGCAACAGCCGCTCTGCATCATGGGAACTGACCGTCAGTCTGCAACAACAGCCGCTCGGCATCATGGGAACTGACTGCAACAGCCGCTCGGCATCATGGGAACTAACTGCAACAGCCGCTCGGCATCATGGGAACTGACTGCAACAGCCGCTCGGCATCATGGGAACTGACCGTCAGTCTGCAATAACAGCCGCTCGGCATCATGGGAACTGACCGTCAGTCTGCAACAACAGCCGCTCGGCATCATGGGAACTGACTGCAGCACAGTGGAGTCGTCTGTACGTTAGGCTTGTGTCTAACAGACACACAAGTGAACACATCACCCCTGTCTTTCATTGGCTCCAGTTTGGTTTCAAGTTGATTATAAAATGTTCCTCTTTAATCTAAACTCTGAGGACCAGTCTCAGTCCTGGACCAGGGTCTGGACCAGGGTCTAGACCAGACCCATTACCGCGGTGGCACTTCATAAACGCTTTGTTATTGCTTTTCTGTTTTTGATTGAAATGTTTGAATTGATGTGATGTGATTTTATTAAAAAGTACTTTTGTCGACTCTATAAATACCATTGGATTAGATTGTAAAGGATGTTATTAGCACGACTTGTTCTGCTTCAGTCTGAGGTGGGACTGGGGTCTGTAGTTTGGGCTCAGAGCAGGAGACGACAACGGTGACAAAAGGAAATGTGTCCAGAATCTAAAATAATCTATTGATCTATAAAGAAATGCACAGCTTTATTATGCTAAAGCTACAGATTTTATACTAGCTTCTTTATTATGCTAAAGCTACAGATTTTATGATAGCTTCTTTATTATGCTAAAGCTACAGATTTTATGCTAGCTTCTTTATTATATTCAGTGTGTCACAGTCACACACACACTTCTCACCCCCCCCCCGGTGCCCCCCCGGTGCCCCCCCAGGGTCGGCCACGGCCCAATAACACGAGCAGAGGGGAAGTATCAGGAGTGTTCAGTTAGACGGCTGTGGGGCGGCTGACGAGTGGAGATTGTAATTTCCACGACATGATTGATGGAGGCAATAGCGGACGTCGTGTGAGAGCCGCTGCTCGGGGAATATTCTGCTCTTTCTGTTGTTCCAGCGCTCCGTGCTGATTGGACGAGAGCGGAGACCCACCGACACCGACAAAAACTCACCCCGAGAAGCCAGCGGGAAATAAACGTGTGACTTTGGACCGGAACCAAAACATGTGACTTTGGACCGGAACAAGAACATGTGACTTTGGACCAGAACAAGAACATGTGACTTTGGACCGGAACCAAAACATGTGACTTTGGACCAGAACAAGAACATGTGACTTTGGACCAGAACAAGAACATGTGACTTTGGACCGGAACAAGAACATGTGACTTTGGACCAGAACAAGAACATGTGACTTTGGACCAGAACAAGAACATGTGACTTTGGACCAGAACAAGAACATGTGACTTTGGACCAGAACAAGAACATGTGACTTTGGACCAGAACAAGAACATGTGACTTTGGACCGGAACAAGAACATGTGACTTTGGACCAGAACAAGAACATGTGACTTTGGACCGGAACAAGAACATGTGACTTTGGACCAGAACAAGAACATGTGACTTTGGACCGGAACAAGAACATGTGACTTTGGACCAGAACAAGAACATGTGACTTTGGACCAGAACAAGAACATGTGACTTTGGACCGGAACAAGAACATGTGACTTTGGACCAGAACAAGAACATGTGACTTTGGACCAGAACAAGAACATGTGACTTTGGACCAGAACCAAAACATGTGACTTTGGACCAGAACAAGAACATGTGACTTTGGACCGGAACAAGAACATGTGACTTTGGACCAGAACCAAAACATGTGACTTTGGACCAGAACAAGAACATGTGACTTTGGACCGGAACAAGAACATGTGACTTTGGACCAGAACCAAAACATGTGACTTTGGACCAGAACAAGAACATGTGACTTTGGACCGGAACAAGAACATGTGACTTTGGACCAGAACCAAAACATGTGACTTTGGACCAGAACAAGAACATGTGACTTTGGACCGGAACAAGAACATGTGACTTTGGACCAGAACAAGAACATGTGACTTTGGACCGGAACAAGAACATGTGACTTTGGACCAGAACCAAAACATGTGACTTTGGACCAGAACAAGAACATGTGACTTTGGACCAGAACAAGAACATGTGACTTTGGACCAGAACCAAAACATGTGACTTTGGACCAGAACAAGAACATGTGACTTTGGACCAGAACAAGAACATGTGACTTTGGACCGGAACAAGAACATGTGACTTTGGACCAGAACCAAAACATGTGACTTTGGACCAGAACAAGAACATGTGACTTTGGACCAGAACAAGAACATGTGACTTTGGACCAGAACCAAAACATGTGACTTTGGACCAGAACAAGAACATGTGACTTTGGACCAGAACCAAAACATGTGACTTTGGACCAGAACAAGAACATGTGACTTTGGACCGAAACAAGAACATGTGACTTTGGACCAGAACCAAAACATGTGACTTTGGACCAGAACAAGAACATGTGACTTTGGACCAGAACCAAAACATGTGACTTTGGACCAGAACCAAAACATGTGACTTTGGACCAGAACAAGAACATGTGACTTTGGACCAGAACCAAAACATGTGACTTTGGACCAGAACAAGAACATGTGACTTTGGACCAGAACAAGAACATGTGACTTTGGACCAGAACAAGAACATGTGACTTTGGACCAGAACCAAAACATGTTCTTTGGACCAGAACAAGAACATGTGACTTTGGACCAGAACAAGAACATGTGACTTTGGACCAGAACAAGAACATGTGACTTTGGACCAGAACAAGAACATGTGACTTTGGACCAGAACAAGAACATGTGACTTTGGACCAGAACAAGAACATGTGACTTTGGACCAGAACAAGAACATGTGACTTTGGACCAGAACCAAAACATGTGACTTTGGACCAGAACCAAAACATGTGACTTTGGACCAGAACAAGAACATGTGACTTTGGACCGGAACAAGAACATGTGACTTTGGACCAGAACCAAAACATGTGACTTTGGACCAGAACAAGAACATGTGACTTTGGACCTGAACAAGAACATGTGACTTTGGACCAGAACAAGAACATGTGACTTTGGACCGAACCAAAACATGTGACTTTGGACCAGAACAAGAACATGTGACTTTGGACCGGAACAAGAACATGTGACTTTGGACCAGAACAAGAACATGTGACTTTGGACCAGAACCAAAACATGTGACTTTGGACCAGAACAAGAACATGTGACTTTGGACCAGAACCAAAACATGTGACTTTGGACCAGAACAAGAACATGTGACTTTGGACCAGAACAAGAACATGTGACTTTGGACCAGAACCAAAACATGTGACTTTGGACCAGAACAAGAACATGTGACTTTGGACCAGAACCAAAACATGTGACTTTGGACCAGAACAAGAACATGTGACTTTGGACCAGAACCAAAACATGTGACTTTGGACCAGAACAAGAACATGTGACTTTGGACCAGAACAAGAACATGTGACTTTGGACCAGAACAAGAACATGTGACTTTGGACCAGAACAAGAACATGTGACTTTGGACCAGAACAAGAACATGTGACTTTGGACCAGAACCAAGAACATGTGACTTTGGACCAGAACAAGAACATGTGACTTTGGACCAGAACAAGAACATGTGACTTTGGACCAGAACAAGAACATGTGACTTTGGACCAGAACAAAACATGTGACTTTGGACCAGAACAAGAACATGTGACTTTGGACCAGAACCAAAACATGTGACTTTGGACCAGAACAAGAACATGTGACTTTGGACCAGAACAAGAACATGTGACTTTGGACCAGAACAAAAACATGTGACTTTGGACCAGAACAAGAACATGTGACTTTGGACCAGAACCAAAACATGTGACTTTGGACCAGAACAAGAACATGTGACTTTGGACCAGAACAAGAACATGTGACTTTGGACCAGAACAAGAACATGTGACTTTGGACCAGAACAAGAACATGTGACTTTGGACCAGAACCAAAACATGTGACTTTGGACCAGAACAAGAACATGTGACTTTGGACCAGAACCAAGAACATGTGACTTTGGACCAGAACCAAAACATGTGACTTTGGACCAGAACAAGAACATGTGACTTTGGACCAGAACAAGAACATGTGACTTTGGACCAGAACAAGAACATGTGACTTTGGACCAGAACAAGAACATGTGACTTTGGACCAGAACAAGAACATGTGACTTTGGACCAGAACAAGAACATGTGACTTTGGGACCAGAACAAGAACATGTGACTTTGGACCAGAACAAGAACATGTGACTTTGGACCAGAACCAAAACATGTGACTTTGGACCAGAACAAGAACATGTGACTTTGGACCAGAACAAGAACATGTGACTTTGGACCAGAACCAAAACATGTGACTTTGGACCAGAACAAGAACATGTGACTTTGGACCAGAACCAAAACATGTGACTTTGGACCAGAACCAAAACATGTGACTTTGGACCAGAACAAGAACATGTGACTTTGGACCAGAACCAAAACATGTGACTTTGGACCAGAACAAGAACATGTGACTTTGGACCAGAACAAGAACATGTGACTTTGGACCAGAACAAGAACATGTGACTTTGGACCAGAACAAGAACAAGAACATGTGACTTTGGACAAGAACAAGAACATGTGACTTTGGACCAGAACAAAACATGTGACTTTGGACCAGAACAAGAACATGTGACTTTGGACCAGAACCAAAACATGTGACTTTGGACCAGAACAAGAACATGTGACTTTGGACCAGAACAAGAACATGTGACTTTGGACCAGAACAAGAACATGTGACTTTGGGCCAGAACAAGAACATGTGACTTTGGACCAGAACAAAACATGTGACTTTGGACAAACAGAACAAGAACATGTGACTTTGGACCAGAACAAGAACATGTGACTTTGGACCAGAACAAGAACATGTGACTTTGGACCAGAACAAGAACATGTGACTTTGGACCAGAACCAAAACATGTGACTTTGGACCAGAACAAGAACATGTGACTTTGGACCAGAACAAGAACATGTGACTTTGGACCAGAACAAGAACATGTGACTTTGGACCAGAACAAGAACATGTGACTTTGGACCAGAACCAAAACATGTGACTTTGAACCAGAACGTGTCCTTGAGCAAGACACTTTCTCTGGGACGCCCTTGAATCGTAGGCACTACAGTGAAAAACAGAAATCACTCAGAATCTTCTCTCTCAGGTCTTTGTCTGGAATGTTCCATAACATTCGACACATCAATCCTTTTGTGGAGTATACATGTATATTTGATAATAATGGGCCAATCCAGACCAAACCAAACCAAACCAGACTAAACCAAACCAAACCAAACCAAACCAGACCAAACCAAACCAAACCAAACCAAACCAGACCAAACCAGACCAAACCAAACCAAACCAGACCAAACCAAACCAAACCAGACAAAACCAAACCAAACCAAACCAAACCAAACCCTGATACTGTAATGTTACTAATACTACACAACATGTTTAGACTTCAGGAGAGAGTTAGTGAGAGAGCTCTACCCTGATTGGCTGATGCTGATTGGCTGATGCTGATTGGTTGATGCAGATTGGCTGATGCAGATTGGCTGATGCAGATTGGCTGATGCAGATTGGTTGATGCAGATTGGCTGATGCAGATTGGTTGATGCTGATTGGCTGATGCTGATTGGCTGATGCAGATTGGTTGATGCTGATTGGCTGATGCTGATTGGCTGAAACCTGCAGGTTCTGTATGAATCAGAAACCGTGTAATAGACAGATTTTGGAGCGAACTGGGAACTGATGCGGAGAAGTTGATTTAGCAAAACTGGCTCTCAGTGGGGGGGGGGGGGGGGGGGGGCGCAGCAGGGGGGGGGGGGGGGGGGGGTGGTGGGGGGGGGGGGGTAGGGGGGGTGGGTAGGGGCAGGGGGGGTAGGGGCTGCGATGGTTCGATGGGACGCCCTGGTATTTAATCATAGCTGTCAGACTCTGATCAGGAGGGGGAGGGGCTGCGGGCTCAGGTGAAATGAGACGAGGAACGAAGCCGTCAGCACTCGCCGCTGTCAGACTGTCAGACGAGTACTTTCAGAGTGTGAAGTGTGTGTCAGTGTGTCAGTCTGTGTGTGTGTATGTATGTGCGTATGTGTGTGTTTGTGTATATGTTTCTGTATGTGTCAGTGTGTGTGTGTGTGTTTGTTTATGTGTGTGTGTGTGTATATGTATGTGTTTGTTTATATGTGTGTGTTTGTTTATGTGTGTGTGTGTGTGTAACTGTGTATATGTATGTGTTCGTTTATATGTGTGTGTGTGTGTGTGTGTATTACTTTGAAATACTGCTAGAATAGGAAGATAAAAACACTGGGGGTTTGTAATTGATACTTTCTGCTTTGAAGTCATTTGAAACTAATAAAGTTAAATTTGTATCCAAAGAAACAAAGTCATGAAGAGTTTTAAGACAGTGATGGAGCTAAACACAGCTCCAGGTCTCACAGATCAAAGCCTTCTTCATGGTATGAGTCCTTCATGGTCCTGTAAGTCACTTCTGTTCATGTGACCCTGATCATGTGACCCTGGTCATGTGGCTCTGGTCATGTGGCTCTGGTCATGTGACCCTGGTCATGTGACCCTGGTCATGTGATCCTGGTCATGTGCTCTGGTCATGTGACCCTGGTCCATGTGGCCCTGGTCATGTGACCCTGGTCATGTGGCCCTGGTCATGTGACCCTGGTCATGTGACCCTGGTCATGTGACTCTGATCATGTGACCCTGGTCATGTGACCCTGGTCATGTGGCTCTGGTCATGTGACCCTGGTCATGTGGCTCTGGTCATGTGGCTCTGGTCATGTGGCCCTGGTCATGTGATCCTGGTCATGTGGCCCTGGTCATGTGGCCCTGGTCATGTGACCCTGGTCATGTGACCCTGGTCATGTGGCTCTGGTCATGTGACCCTGGTCATGTGGCTCTGGTCATGTGACCCTGGTCATGTGGCTCTGGTCATGTGACCCTGGTCATGTGGCTCTGGTCATGTGGCTCTGGTCATGTGACCCTGGTCATGTGGCTCTGGTCATGTGACCCTGGTCATGTGGCTCTGGTCATGTGAACCTGGTCATGTGGCTCTGGTCATGTGGCTCTGGTCATGTGACCCTGGTCATGTGACCCTGGTCATGTGGCTCTGGTCATGTGGCTCTGGTCATGTGACCCTGGTCATGTGACCCTGGTCATGTGGCTCTGGTCATGTGGCTCTGGTCATGTGACCCTGGTCATGTGGCCCTGGTTGGTCATGTGACCCTGGTCATGTGACCCTGGTCATGTGGCTCTGGTCATGTGGCTCTGGTCATGTGACCCTGGTCACGTGGCTCTGGTCACGTGACCCTGGTCACGTGACCCTGGTCACGTGGCTCTGGTCATGTGACCCTGGTCACGTGACCCTGGTCACTGTGACCCTGGTCACGTGACCCTGGTCACGTGACTCTGAAACACTGAAACCACAGAGTTTGGTTTTACCTGAGGAGCAGCTGCAGGGTCCTCACACACAGCCAGGCCCCGGACCAGCTTTAACCGGCCGTTGGACTGTGGGGGAGAGAGGAGAGAGGAGGGAGGAGGGAGGAGGGAGGGGAAGAGGGAGGGGGGAGGGGGAGGGGAAGAGGGAGGGGGGGAGGGGGGGGGGGAGGGAGAGGGGGGAGGGAGAGGGGGGAGGGAGAGGGGGGAGAGAGGAGGGGGGTCAAAGTCATGCACTGAACCACGAGCAGCACAACAAGAGGCAACAAGCAGGACTGAACCAGGACTGAACCAGGACTGAACCAGGACTGAACCGGGACTAAACCGGGGCTGAACCAGGACTGAACCGGGACTGAATCAGGATTGAACCAGGACTGAATCAGGACTGAATCAGGCCAAGCAGAGCACAGCTACAGCCACAGACACAGCCGCAGACACAGCCGCAGACACAGCCGCAGACACAGCCGCAGACACAGCCGCAGACACAGCCGCAGACACATGCTTTCACCCGTCTGCATTTAACCCTGAAGGTGCCACGGATTGACGTAAAAATATGCGATATTTGGTATATATTGTGTAGGTTTCCTCCGGGTGCTCCGGTTTCCCCTACCACTAAAAACACGTACAACTCCTGTACTGGCCCCTCCCATCTCTGTGTGAGTGACAGACTAATGCCCATGATTGTAAACCGCTTTGACTCTGGTCTGAGAAAGGCGCTACATAAATAAATGACTTACTGAAGCAGGGCGTCAACATTAATGCAAAATGATTTACTGTTTTACTATTTCCCGACAGTGAGTTCATGTCCTGGGGATTTGTGTGTGTCAGAAAAATAATAAATACAAAAAATAATGAAACTCCAGGAATGCCACGCCCATATGAGGTCCTAATATGCAAATGAGATGGGTGCGTTTAATTCCTACATAAACTTTGGGCCGTCCTTATCCATCTCGTTTCATAACTTATTAAGAAAATAAGACGTCAAAATTCAACCGTCCGGCGTCTAAAGAGTTAAAAACTACAAACTCAACTCTACAGTTTCTCCAACACGACCCGAGCGGCTGCAACAGCGTTCACAAAATGACATTTCATCTCCGTTCCACCACTTCAGCCAAAAAAACATTTCACAGCAACTTCCAAATGCTGCGCGTCAGCAGACACAGGCCATTCACACAGAAACTACATTACCCAGCATGCATCTGGGAGGCCTCCTACCTTTACGTGCTTCACAGGCTGCACACAGGCGAGAACAGGAGACACAGTTACATCACAACAACCACAGAAGAAGAAGCAGAGAAGAAGAAGAGAAGAAGAAGAGCAGAAGCAGAGAAGAAGCAAAGAAGAAGCAGAGAAGAAGCAGAGAAGAAGAAGAGAAGAAGCAGAGAAGAAGCAGAGAAGAAGCAGAGAAGAAGAAGAGAAGAAGCAGAGAAGAAGCAGAGAAGAAGCAGAGAAGAAGCAGAGAAGAAGCAGAGAGGAAGCAGAGATATTAAGTATTTTTGAAGGAAAATACTGTGTAAATAACTTCATCTGAAACAGGACCAGGAAGAACCCTGCAGCGCCCCCTGCTGGCCGCTTCTGTGGCCTGGACTAAAGAATAATCCATTGGTTTCTCTGAGCTAATGTAGAAAGTACTTTTCTTTTCTTATGATTATTTATACATTACAGGAGTTTAAACCTCTAGGACTGAACCAAAACTGGACCAAATGTACAATCATTAAGAACTGAAGCCAGAGATTTGTAAAAACATTTTGGATGTGTTGGGTTAAGTTATTAATATAAATACATTTCAGAGGCCACTAAAATGGTCTGAGATGGACATTCCTGCGGCAGTAAAAAGACCAAACCTTTTTTAAGAAATAATATCTGTATTTTCTCCAGTTTGAGATGAATTAAAGAAGAACCACATGAAAAGATCTGTGTTGATCCTGGACTGAACCATCTGGGATCACACCTGCTCAGCCAAGTTACACGCCAAGTTACACGCCAAGTTCCACGCCAAGTCTGTGGAGAGGCCGCCACAGACAGAAGACATTTTACTGCATATCCTACTTCATTATTATTACTGTGAGTAACTTATTAGTCAGAGCGAGAGCTTAGAGTCACTCTGGCCTTTCTCTGTGGAGCAGAGAGGAAGTCTGCACGGATCAATGGAGCCCAGCATCTAAGTGAGCAGAGGGAGCAGATGGAGGCGCAGGGGAGGGAGGAGGGAGGAGGGAGGAGGGAGGAGAGGAGAGAGGAGAGAGGAGAGGAGGGGAGGAGAGAGGAGGAGAGGAGGGAGGAGGGAGGAGAGGAG